CAGACATTAAGGACATACAATTCGCGCAAGAAGGCTCTTACGATCTGCGTAACCAAAATTGCACAGTGACAATAAAAGCCTTTAAGTCAACACTCCGCGAAAACTTCTTCACAGTCATGTATTCTAAAATATGGAACAATCTGCCCCTAGAAGACAGGAACTGCAATACGGTTACAAGTTTCAAACGCTCTCTGTACACACTATTTCACTCTACTGATTATATAAACAGACTATTTATTCCTAGAACGAATCAAATGTAAGTCTACTACAGTACCTAAACGCGCTTAAATACCCTTACTTCTCTAAAGACTATAAATAAACTAGTAGCATAAATGCATAAAAAGACATAGTAGAAATAAATATTCGTTCATCAAATTACAATGTACAACGAATATAAACATATATGTCCCATTCCACGTACTTTTTCTCTGCCCTCTGGTACATTCCTGTTGTATTTGCTTTGTAGTACAAGTTGCATTGATCTACATTCCGACAGAAGCTGAGAAACAATTGAAGTCACTTACGCATATATTATCCCTCAAGGTTTGGCTAGTAATGACTCAGCATCCCTGATGAAATCCACTGTCACCATAACAAGACGCTATACAGCATCTTATACAAGCACTGTCAACGATCTAAAATGGTTTTTATATAGCTTTCTACGTGTTTATCAACTTACTCGTACGGAACAACCATGCTGTGACAAATGGCGGGCTATGGGTGACTTGAGTGCAGTAAAACAAATCTGCTTGACAATGACCAATATTAATCTGCACTCAGTTGAATTCACATCTAGTATTATTTGCAATAAAAGTGATGTCAAAATCATAAGAATAAATCACTCATTTTAAATTAATACCCAATTTGAACATAAAACAAGATACGACGCCGCACACAACAAAGTTATATGGAGGAATTGACTTCAAGCTTTGTTTTTTCCCAAATATTTGTAATTTATCAGACACATACTTGGGTTTTTTGTTAATGCAAAGACAATATTTCTATATTTCTTTATGTGCTCCATTGAACGACTAACTATCAGAATGTACTCACTAACTGATGTCAGAGAGGACAGCAACCATGTAATTTCACTATAAATCAAATTCATGTAATTTAAATAATACTTATCCATGCCTGTACAACTGGTGTGTCCTACATAGATAGGAAATATATATGTTATCAACGTTGATCTAAATCTTGAAATAAATGGGTGTAAACTAGCCAAGCTCAACTCAGTCGTAGATCTCGGTATCAGATACTCTAGTAACTTAACGTTCTCTGAACAAACTGATTATGCCAGACGTAAAACACGAAGACTCCTGGGATGCATAACTCGCAATTTCTTTTGTTGTGAAGGTAGGGTTTTATTATACAAAATATGTGTCCAACCTATTTTAGAATACTGCCCGTTTATTCTTAGCGGACTCAGGCAAAATGACAAGCTTCAATTAGAAGGAGTGCAACGGCAATTCACCTTAAGAGTTCTTGGTCTAGAAAGTGGTCTCGAATACTGTGAACGTTGCGACAGACTGAGTTTAGAACCACTCTGGAAAAGACGTCTTAAGCTAAACCTAATTTTTTGCTACAAGCTAACTAATCTGCTCGTTCACTCCTCCGAGCCAATAATTAAACCTACCGCTGTCATCAGTTACAATCATCACAACCTAGCTGCTATAGAGCATTGTCAGGCTTACATGAGGTATAATTTCTTCTTAAATAAGTTTTCAGTCATTTGGAATAGACTACCAGCTGATGTGCGCGATGCAAACACACTCGCAGTGTTTATCTCCTCAGTCACCAGACTGCTCAAAGATGACAATTCACTTCTGCGTCTGACTCTTACATCCTCTTTTTCACCCTACATAGATATTTTAAGTTCATTAAAAGTGTAGTTACAACAAACTACAATTATAAATTTTTGTATTATTGGAAGTACATAATAGACATTTTTACACAGGACAATAATATTAGTTCACACATAATATAAAAGTTAGCATAACGGGACTAGTTAGTTAGTGCACCAAAATAACTATAGTTACTAAACAGTTACTTTGAACTACTTTCGTGAATTTCATTGGATAATTCGACGTCGTTTGCTGATTGGTATTTACTGGTGGTGCCACTGAACTGTTGAGACGAGGCTGTTCTCAGTCTCGGCGGCAGCGGCTCTCACCGGCTGTTTCAATACCCAGCAATTGCAGATGTACAAAATCTGGGTTAGGGAGAGATGCGACCTAGCAAAAAAGGTTCCTACGAAATATTAAAATTAGCAGCTTACCCTCTCTAAAGCTAACTCGCTTCCAGCATATTCCACAACGATGGACAAATCCATCAGTTGACCTGGTATAGCTTTTTTAGAGTCATAACACCACCACATGAACAACTTCTCTCCTTTGCAAGCAAGCCTAAGTCCAGGCAATACTGAAAGACACTATCCTCCTCGAATTGCAAACGTAACCTTGTAAGGGCACGCACTGGAAATGAATCAAGCGCTATACAACAATGAACTACTTTTGTGAATCTCATTAGATAATTCGACTTCGTTTGCTGATTGGTAGTTACTGGTGTCTAAAGTTTAACTTGGCCAGGATTAAATTTACGGTTAGCATAAGGGTTGTAATTAGGGTTAGTGTTAAGTTCGGGGTTAGGGTCAGGATTAAGGTTAGGTTTGCGATTAGGGATAGATTTAGAGTCCAATATCGTTTTTACGAGCTAGCATAAACCAATTTGATTCCTTTGTGCTCGCCTCTTGATTGTGAGGTAGAGGTTCCTGATCTTCGGTAAACGTCTGCGTAGCTCGTCCCGCCACTCGACTGTCGTAGCTTTGGTTGACTCCAAAAGGAGTAGTACAGGGATTAATTATATATGGTTTGTAGTATGAGGTGTGTTAAGACTGTTACTACTGGGAATGGAGTTGATCCTTTCACCAGTTGGTCCTTCGGTATCGTCGTAAATAGAAAAGAGATAATAATAATAATGATAATAATAGGTATGATTAGTGAAGGTATTCAGACTAACAGAGAGAAGAAGAATAAGAAAACGTAACAACAGTCAGTCAACCGGTATATATATACATATAACGGTAATAATAATAATGATAATATATAATACATAATATATATATAATATATAATATAATGATAATAGTAATAGCTGTAGTTAAAGCTGTCAGGAGAGTAAGACGGAAGAGAATGTAAAGAAGTAAAACGACAAGTTTAATTGTCTACCCTTGAATGGTGTATGCGATTTTAAGGGGATAGGCCATTTGGATGCAGTCCTTGTGTCGCTGCATGGTTGTCCAGCCTTCGCTTAAAAGCATCCACAGACGGTTCCATTGCTACATCTGCCGGTAAGGAATTCCACGGACGGCAAACGCGCAGGGAAAAGAAGTGGGGGCGCACCCGGATTTAGACAGGACACTTGGGTGACACAGACTGTAATTCTCAGAACTGCATCGCTCTAGTGTCACTGAAGCATGGGGACGTATTAGAGCCCCAGTTTGCTGCCTCCTTATGGTTCGGGGTCTGCTTTCGCAGCATCGGATATGTCCCCCCATTTCCCCTTGATCTCATACCACCGTTGAAGTGCTATGGCCAACTGCTCCGGGGGTTAAATGTGACACTTAGCAGCTTTGGAGAACTAATCAGTGTGAGATGAGCGAGGCGAGGTAGTTGGGAAATGGAGATTGCTCCAGAAGCGCCAAGGGCCATCTCAGATGACAGCCATCCCCACTGCTGTACGTCATGCATGTGTTTTTCACAAGCAGTGCCTGTTTCCAGCTCCGGAACACCATGTACCACCATAGAGGTAGAAGGCATCAGTTCCGGTGACTCCCTCGCCATTTGTCTGATAGCCCATGGTCTGTCATGCCTCACCCTTATGTTCGAACTTCTGTCGATGGCTAGTACCTGAGCCATCAATAGTACCTTTTCAGCCTCTTCGGCAGAGTCCAGTGTAGCCCTCCATGGGGGTGGCTTACCCTGAGACGTGTGGACACCCCTGTACAGCCTGCACAATTTCACTGGACTAGTGTTCCGGCCTATTTTTTTCACAGGTTGGACCACTGTTCCTGATCAAACAGGGCCCGCTGTTCAAGCAAGCTGTCCTTTATCACAGGTACGTTAAGGAGTATAAGAGAATTAGACCGATTAACCTCAGACTTAGGCTTGGCCTTTGGCTTCTTGTATTCCTTTGCTGCATCAACAACTTTAGGCTTTATCGGGTTCCGGCCAGCCTTTGTTGTGTTGCCGAGCTTGCTTGTGGATGCAAGTGGTACTTTTCTAATTCTATCTTTCCTTGATTTTGTGGATCCAAACTAATGAAAATCGGCATTTTCAGTCAGTAGGACTGGAGTGTTCTTCTTACTGTCTGTGCCAAATTTCGGCGGTGTGATGTTAGCAGGTGGGAAGCTGCATAAGACTTTGTTGGGACACAAGAGCGACTTGTTGTTTCTGCTATCCGCAGACACGCTCTGTGGGACTTTGCCAGGGCGACAAAGTGGACAGATGTACCAAAACCACGGGCACGGGTTATTTCTCATAAACTCGTAGTATGCTTTCGACACCTCTTTATCACAACGGCAGTGCACCCACCGTTTGCAAAAATTGCATTCAAACGCCGAGTCAGCTTTAGCAACTATGATACTGCATGCCTGGCATTCGTCTCCCTTACTTGATGACGCCTTCGAAGTCTTATGACGTCTTGAGCGTTTCCTTTTAGGTTTGCTGTGTTTCACACACTGTCTTTCAGTTGATGCAGGTGTAATATCCTGTTCCCCTGGTTTGCCTGTGTCGTTTCAGTACTAGACTGTGGCAATACAGGCATAGTATCAGGACAGACGAGACCTACACGAGTCTTTAGGATAGGTTTGCGACATGAGGTTGATGTCCCTGGGTTTTTGCCTTCTCTGGCTGAAGCCCTTGTGACTACAGATTAAGGTGTTTTAGTGCCTTTTCTAAGGCTACTTTCGACAGCCATGTTAACAATCACTAAAACTTATGCTATATAGGAATAAGAGTGCAACAGTACTCTGACAGATTCACTGGCCATATATAAAAATATATAGCCTTTGAACTATTTATTTTATGCGGATTAATTTGTGACATAGAACTGGAAACAGTCATCATTGTATCCCCATTATTATCTCCATTGTAACCAGAATCGAATCGATATGACCGATTATTTGGATGGCATAAATTATGGAAATAACGACGTGCTACATCCCAACCAGACATACCTCCGTCGAAAATCACTTTGTCAAAGTTTCTAGCAAGTACAACATTAGTCTCCATGTTAAGAATCTCTCGATTAATGCTGACATATTCTTTTGATGTAAGACGATGCATACGATCATCTGCTGGTGGTGGTTGATCTTCTGGAGCATTTTGACTGACAAATGAATCGTGGTGTTGAAGTGAACCAAAATTAGCCAATAGTTCATTGCTGCTAATTAAAGAGCCATGATTGGTTTGAGAATTACTACTTTCAACAATCAAGTCAGTAGAATCAGACGACTGAATATGATTTGGCCAGGAATTGTACGCTTTTGTTTTGCGTTCTTTCCAAATTTGCGCCAAAACATCGATTGACGGTTTATCATCTACCCGCAAGAACAAAAATAAGACTGAAAAAGTACAAGACAAGGAAAAGAAAAGGTTTTCGACTTTACCTAGTACTTTCTGGATGATCGGCTTCACAGCAATCAAGTGGTAGACCAACAAGTCCTGTTTATCTGAACGAGTGAGGAAGATGGTGCTACAAAAGTAGCACCTGAAGCTTTGGCAGTAGTTCGAGGCAGCTGGACTTACCACACAGGGATTTGGTACAGAAGTAATGATTGAATTTAATTCACCGGCTAGAGAGATCAGGCTTCCCAAGCAGATAATTCACAAAATAGGTATTTTCCGGTTAGAGAGGAAAAGGCACGTCGTATTCAAGGAGCGCGCGTCAAGGTCGAGTTGATATAATTTATTTTAATTTGGTTTTTTATCCACATTTTCCTGGTAGGAAGTCGTCGATCCTCTCAAAGGAAATCATAGTAATTCAACTGAGGGCTTTGAGGAGGACTGCACAACAAGATAAGGGAGTTAAACGATTCACAAAAACAGTTCATCTTCAGTCACCCCGATGAATACATCTACAGAAACTAGTCTAACTTAGCAACTGCCAAGCTAGCATTATTTTCGGGCGCATAGACTTACATGGGACAATGCCCCTAAGTCTGCCACAAAAATCTGCAGTGCGCCCGAAATCGGTGCTAGCTGGTTTATAATCCTCATAATAACTGGGACGTATTTTTAAGTCACGTCAGAGAAAGATAACCTGTTTAATGTGTTTTCATGCATTTTCTTGCAAATATACGTCATTTTTCATGCAAAAATTCTCCATTTCTGTGACTGGTCGGCTCAAGGACATATAATTGCATAAACAAAGACATAAGAATAGAACTAGGGCGCTGTGGCAGAGAATAATCCCATAATAGAATAAGTTTATTTGATAAACACACAGTCTTATACAGTATTCTTTACTGATGACCTTCCGGGCACAATTTATCGCTCACGACCATATTACGGTACTCAACCTGACTTATGAAATAAAACAGATAGAATAAGCGTTGGTGTTAAATAACTGTCCTATAAAATCCACTGAGTAGATCATAAAAGGTTACAAGAAAAACAAAAAATAATAGTGAAACTAGTATTGATAACATCAAGGGGAAAGAATTTAATGCCTATACAGTTTTATAACATAAAGAGAGGACATCTGAAAGCTTACACAGGACCCGTAATAAACCAGGAATTAGAGTGGCCTTTAAACCTACAAACTCATTCAAGGACAAGCTCTATAGGTTAAGCAATCCTTCTGACCCAATTAGACAAAATAATATAATTTACAAATTACCTTGTAACGACTCTGAAGTCAACTACATAGTTCAAACCAGTAGATTAGGAGTAGTGAGATTATCAGAATATAAGCATTTAGCTAAGTGTAGAATGATCGATTCCACGAAGATAATTGTGCATGCATTAACACACAACAGGGTGGGACAGAGTTACAGTTCTAAAATGTAATACAGATAGTTGGATGGGTGAAATGGTTGATGACTGAATCTTTGTTCATCGAATCTATACCCAATAAACGCAACAGGAGTGAATTATCACTAATGCCAGATATACTGAAGATAGCATTATCATTATTGTTCCGAGTGGAACATGGGTCTCCAATAACACATCTCCACTTTCTCCTATTTTCTGATATCCACTTCACCTGGGTCTACGATTGTCCATAATCTCTCATTTCCTCCTCCTCCTCAAACGATCTCCTTCATGTCACTCATTAATTGACGCCCCAGTTGTTTTTTCCCAATGGGGTTCAACCCAATCAGTGGCCTGCATTACGTGTGATGTCATTCGACGGTCTCCTCAGTGTGTGTTCTATCCACCTCCATTTTCTCCTGAATATTTGTTGAGCAATAGGCTCTCGGTTGGTTTGTTGCCAGAATTCCTTGTTGCTAATTCTTCCTGGCCTGCAATTTGATCTTCGGTATGGGACTGGCAAAGTAGACAGCTGTTGATATAAATGTCTGCAGTGGACTGTTGGAAATGATTTTCGTGACACGCCTGTCAAGTTTCTGACCCATATAGAAGTAGTGACTGACTTCAAATTTCTGTTGAATAGAATCCGAATCTTGTTCTTTATGCTGGTTGGAAATAGAAGATTCCCAAACCGACTTCAGATTGATGAGGGTGTACCAGACAAATCGAGATATGAGAAACAATAGAATTATATACACAAAGTCAGAAAGTTGTGTTGTGGTGAGAGCTGGCTGCTAGCCGAATCGGTAGACAGTAGCTCAAGTCAATGATTACCACCCGAAGATTGGTCGTGAGAAAAATAAGAACAAAGACTGATTCAACAACCAGTCAGAGCAGACTTTGCGTAGGCGGATACAATTTGCAGATAGATAATGTGAACTTCAAGAAACGGCCACAAAGAGATGAAAGATTAACGTTCAACGAGAAACCACCAATCAGAAGACTGTGTTTGTTTGCTTACAATAATCTATAATAATGTACATGAAAATCTACATATATATCTTCATTTCCTAAATAAATTATCTGTTGCTTGGCCCTTATCTTCTGCCGTTATAGTGTGAGTAACTTGACATGATTATCAGTAATAAGTTGTGCTTAAAGTGTCATCAGTAAATAATACTGTATAAAACAGTGAGACTTTATGAAATAAATTCCAGATCTTTGAATTTACTTCTCGCTGAAATATCACTTATCTACCTCACGATAATCATTTTTATTTACGCACTATTATATTCTATTAGATCTTAACTACCTAGGCCTTTATTAATGCTAAAACTTACTCTTTGTTAATATTTGTTGCTTGCCCAAAGTTTGGTTGCCTTGATTGAGAACACAACAGCACCAGTGTTTGAACAAAGCTTTATTTTCATCCAAAACATCATATTTTCCATGCTTAGACCAATATGGTTGGTATTAAACATTGCAAAATGTTGTTGTGCTGCTATATTTTGATTAAACTAGCGTATACGTATATCCTAATACTTCTTCTCGTTTATAATTGTGTCCTAACGTTGTGCTTACTCGACACACACAACGTAAATCAGAAGACACTTGAGAAGGTGTAGGAATGTGTATTCTCGCCGTAATCAAAATTCAAAACTTGAGCGAGTACAAATGTATCAATTGTTAACATGCAAGATTTAGAGTAATAAACAAATCGAAGTACAATTACACAATGAAAGTATAGTACGATGATGAGTAATAAAATGGGTCACTACAATAGCCCCTCAGTAGAATGCAGGTAAATGAAGTTTACCTGTATTCGGAATGATATTGTAAATTACAAGGACAAAAAAAATATGAAAACCGAATTGAGGCTTTTAAGTTTTCTGAGGTTCGATTATAACTGTATATATTCGAAAATGTTAACAACTTTGAAACGAACTAAAATGTTTAGAAAGTTGTGCAACATGTAACAATAAAAGCAGAAAAATTATTATTAGAATAATAATGAGGTTGTTATTGTAAAGAGTTACAGAATAGATTTATATCTTAACATACAGTTAATAGTATAGTAATAAGGAAGTATGGGAATGACTTGGGTAAACATTCAGTTACCTCTATTTCCATGAAAGCTGGTTGTACAAGTGGAATTGTACAAGAAGAGATGGCTGTGCCAGAGAAGAGTGCAGCAGTAGCTGCTGCTGCTGATACGGTTGAAAGTGAACGTCCGTCAGTATGTTGTTGTTGCTGGGGTGTTGCTACTCGGCGTTGAGGAGTAACTTGAATTGATGTTTGCTGAGGTTGGAGAGTAGAAGTTGGTTGATTGATAGCCATTCCAACAAGAGCAGTTGGCATAAACTGTGGTAAACTAGTGATTTGAATCAACTGACCGTTAGGACCAACAGCCATGACTTTTAATGGAGCTCCTGGTGCCAGAGTGATAAACTGGGGAGTAGCATAGGAGCATGAAGCTACAGTACCAGGTTGACCACTGACAGAGACGTCAGTTGCCATCATTGTTGCTTGTTGCTGATTTTGTTGGATATAAGCTTGCTGTTGAGCTGGTTGTAACTAATGAGCTTGTGCTTGAATCTGTTGTTGTTGTTGAGATGATTGGATAAACTGTTGTTGTAATTGAACAGCTGTAGGACTGGCTTGAGTACATGGAGTTGCAGACTATTGCAAGAGTGTTTGACCACCTGTAGACAATGCTGAAGCTTCAGGACTAAGGAAGAACTGTTGAGTTGTGCGATGAGATGGCACAAGAATGAGTTCGAAATGTCTAATAAATATAGAGATCCACGAAAGTTAGAATTTTATTAATCCAGCAAGTGTAACGATGCGTCGAGGTCAACAAGTTGTCGTCGGGCTCACCAGTTGTTGTTGTATTTTGTTTAAACTAGCGTATACGTATATCCTAATACTTCTTCTCGTTTATAATTGTGTCCTAACGTTGTGCTTACTCGACACACACAACGTAAATCAGAAGACACTTGAGAAGGTGTAGGAATGTGTATTCTCGCCGTAATCAAAATTCAAAACTTGAGCGAGTACAAATGTATTAATTGTTAACATGCAAGATTTAGAGTAATAAACAAATCGAAGTACAATTACACAACGAAAGTATAGTACGATGATGAGTAATGAAATGGGTCACTACAATGTATACTGTCATTCTAAGGAGTCTCCACGTCCCTCTTGTATATATCTTGTAGATGTACTTTCAATGATGTATTATCCATAATCGTATTTTATGCCATTTTGCAGTTTCACAGGTCGTTCTTCTCTTCCGGAAATAGCTTTTAATCACGTGGTGGCATAGCACTCATCAAAATATACGCTGTTCACTGGCTGACCATAACTATCAGCAGGAAACGGAATAAAATTTGGGTTGTTGCTCAACTTTGATGGTCATCTTAGAAAACGGTTTACAATTTACCATTTATAAGAACCTGTTCTGATTGCTTGTACAACAAGTGAACAATTTAAACTTCTGAAAAAGTATTAATTTATGATACTTCAGGATTGCAATTTATAACATAACTGATCGTGCCTGTAAAATGGCATGCATTTCTTGTAAACTTACCCGTTTATACGAAATATAAATTATTATTATTATTAGTGAATAAAAAACAGCCTGTCATCTGAAAATAAATAATGATAAAAATCATTAAACCATCAAAGTTGACCTAAAGACCTGTCTGTAGTGGACCTAGCAACTAAGTATGCCTATACACGCAATTAAAAAGGACAGAACAAATACTAACACGTATGTATATATGAGATATTCAGTTCACTTAAGTTAGTATACACAAGAAACTGAAGTTATTTGAAAAAACTATAATAGTCACAAAATACTCATAATATAGACGTATGAAATAACAGGGATGAAATTGTCCTTTTCTTGATTATGCAATTCCTCAACTACACCTTAGAGATGTCAACCATCGGAGAGCTCCTGCGTAGAGAAAAGCAGATTGGGGCAAAATATCCTAATGTGGATGTGTCGACCAGTGCGAGACAGAGTTGGTCGGCAGATGTGATGAGCGAGCAGCTGGAGAGAGAGAGAGGGACAGATTCGTTCGTTGCGCGCTGTCCAAGGTCCAAGGGTGCTTTTCAATCTCACATAACAACCACGGCTTTCATTGGATTCCTTATTTTTCGGTGAACATATAATTTGATGATATGATTTTCGGTCGCCACATGTCTAGTAAATGTCTAGGTAGTTCAGTTTCAGCTATATATTTCAGCCCCGTTGGCCTTTTCGTGTCACATGAGATGCGAACTACAAAATCCCTGGAGAAACAGTCTTAGCTGTTTGCATAAAAACCAAATTTCTGTGACCAATATGCACATGGCTCAGTTTTGCTCTTATAACACTTCTAGTCTTTCATTGCCACAAATCTAGTAAGAAATAGACGTTGTTAGTTATGGCAAATAATTTCAACACCAGTCTTGGTGATATCTTAAACACTTAGCATACTGATGTTGTTGTGTTGCTGTATTTGACCAAACTAGCGTACACGTAAATCCTAGTACTTCTCCGCGTTTATCATTGTGTCCTAACGTTGTGATTACTCGACATCCACAACGTAAATCAAAAGGCACTTGAGAAGGTGTACGAACGTGTATTATCGCAGTAATCAAAATTCAAAAGTTGAGCGAGTACAATGTATCAGTTGTTAAGACGCAATCTTTAGAGTGATAAACAAATCAAAGTCCAATTACATAGTGAAAGTATACTACGATGATGAGTAATAAAATGGGTCACTAGAATGTAAAATCCAATATTGAACACTCTACTCTGGAGAACATCAGTAAGTATCCAACTTCACCCAGGGTTAAAAGTCTCCAAATTTATTTGTAAATTGTTTAACGGAGAATATTCTGGTGGATATCAGGCATAGACCTCAGTTTTCAGTAAATTTCAAGTCATTATCATTAGCTGATTGGAAGAATATCAGAGGAAGCTTTGTGTTTTCGAAAAGATTCATTTAACTTCAAGTGATTCTTTCCATTAATAAATTTGACCAGAGCAAGAACGACAAATTTACCCAGATTATGTGAGCTCATCTTTTGTTAGTGGGAAACGAGAAGACAGGGATATCCTGGACCGACATGAAGAACCTAGAAGACCTGGATTTCGCGCGTGGATGATTTATGTTTGATGTCACACAAAATCGAAGACTCACAAGCGAAACACGACAAACTGGTCGAAGAAGCAGCCGGTGAAGACAGGACTCCAGGTGAACATAGACAAGACGGAGGTTGTGAAAATAACCAACCAACAACAACAACAACAGAAGCAGCAACATCCAGCGCCAATCACCATCAACGGGAGGGATTTGAAAGAGGTTACTTCATTTACTTATCTAAGGAGCATTGTCTCAACTACAGAAGCAACGGACGAGGATGCCAAATCGAGAATCGGAAAGGCGAGAAACACATTCATCAACCTAAAACCAATCTGAAAGTCTTCTTCACTCAGCACCAACAACAAAATTCGGATTTTCAATACAAACGTCAAGTCAGTTCTTCTATACGGATCAGAAACTTGGCGGGTCACAAAGAATATTTCCAACAGCCTGTTGCAGACATTTATCAACAACTGTCTTCGCTCCATACTCAAGATCAGATGACGGGAAAGAACAAGAACAGACAAGAAACTATCTGAACAAACAAAACAAGAACCAATCGCCCAACAAATATGCAGGAGAAAGTGGAGATGGATTGGACACTCGCTGAGGAGGCCGTTGGGTGACATCGCGCGTCGGGCCCTCGAGTGGAACCTGAAAGGGAAGTGGCGAGTGGGACGTCCAAGGGTGACATGGAGGAGATCGTGCGAAGAGGAAGTGAAACAGTATGGACTAACATGGACGCAGGTGAAAAGTACAGCAGAAGACAGAAGTCAGTGGAGACGTGTAGTTGAAGCTCTATGTTCCACTAGTAACCTAAGGGAACAATAATAATAATATTTCAATAGTTTACACACAATAATAAATTTTGTTTTTTTGGTAATATTTCGATTAAACACAAAATAATTCCAACAGTTGATGTGATAAGGGGCAGTAATTTTGCTTGGAACCTTTAAGCTAACGAGCTTATGTATATATCTTAAATATTTAGCATACTGATGTTGTTGTGTTGCTGTATTTGACCAAACTAGCGTACACGTAAATCCTAGTACTTCTCCGCACTTATTATTGTGTCCTAACGTTGTGATTACTCGACATCCACAACGTAAATCGAAAAGCACTTGAGAAGGTGTACGAACGTATATTATCGCAGTAATCAGAATTCAAAAGTTGAGCGAGTACAATGTATCAGTTGTTAAGACGCAATCTTTAGAGTGATAAACAAATCAAAGTCCAATTACATAGTGAAAGTATACTACGATGATGAGTAATAAAATCGATCACTAAAGTAGCCCCTCCGTAGAGTGCAAGTAAGTGAAGTTTAGCTGTATTTAGAATGTTATTGTAAATTACAAGAACACAAAATGTATGTAAGAGATTCTGGTATGAAAACCGAATTGAGAATTTTAAGGTTTGATAATATAACGGTATATATTCGAAAATGCTAACAACTTTGAAACGAAGCAAAATGTTTAGAAAGCTGTGCAAAAATGTAACAGTAAAGCCAGAAAAATTATTAGAATAATTAATGAGGTTGTTATTGTAAAGAGCTATTGAATCTATTTATATATTAACATACAGTTAATAGCACAGTAATAAGGAGGTATGGAAGTGACTTAGAAATAAATTATCTATACAAATCTTTGTGGCCAATGTACTCGTAGGCTTGTGATCTTGTGATTCTTTCTCTTTTGTTAGCCGGAATATCACCAGATTTTGAATCTTGAGAGCACGAATCATTTTCCGGCGTAACTTTAGCTGATGTTGATGCCTTGGGTAAACATTCAGTCACCTCTACTTCCATGAAAGCTGGATTTACGCGATCGATGCTTACATTATTCTCGTGTTTTCCACAGCGTTCGACAGTGATGATTTTGTTTGTTCTGCTTATTACTTTAAATGGTCCGTCATAAGGTGGTTGAAGTGGTTTCCTCACACTGCCGTGTCTTATGAAAACATGTATGCAATCCTCAACTTTTTGAGGAACATGTGCTTTATTGAGCAGATTTCGCGGGGAATGATATCTTAAAAGGCTCATATGTTGTCTCAGTTGTTGTGCATCAGTAGTTTCGTCAGCTGGAACTTCAGTGGCTGGGTTGAAATATTCTCCAGACAGTCGTAAATTAGTTCCATAAACTAATTCTGCTAAACAACATTCGACACCTCGTTTCATTGTCGAACGTATTGATACAGAAGAACCACATAGTTTTATCAGATATTATAAACCAAAAAGAGAGAAAGCATCTGCACCAGTCATTGATAACGATTGTCAGCTGTATCACCAATTGTTTCCAGCCTCCATTGGTTATTACTCTCCTGAGGGTCCCAACCAGTCAGTCAGTCAGGAAGTCTACACTTCCCCTACATTGTCTAGCTTAAACTAACTGTCATGCATTTCATTGACTGATGAAGCCGTGATTTGCTTTGACCACCACTAGCTAGCTGTCTCTTTTCCAACCTGATCCATCCTATGTTAGCTAACAATGCCCGTTAGTTGAGCAAGGCGGTAGCTAGGCATACGTAGCACATGCCCTAATCATCTCAATCGATGTAACTTCATAGCCTCGTCTATTGATTTCCCCTTCTTGAATAACACTCGATGCCTAACCTCAATATTGTTCATCTTATTATACCAGTTAACACACACGGGAGATAAAACGCAGAAACCTATGATCGAAGACAGCTATGTCTCACAACCAGCCACAAAGGAGGAAAGAGCGGATTGCTCAGCAATAAATACGCCCTTTGGTTGAAAGCCAGCCAGATATCAAGTCTACGCCAGAGACGGCGTTAACTGGCATATGCAGAGACACTTCATCAGGGATCAACCAGCTGGCATGGGCTGATGCAACTTCCCAAATAAATGAAGTGGTCAAGGTGCTCTACCACTTCACTGCCTATTTCTAAGCTAGGAGTCAGGGTAGTCCAGTTCAGTGACATCATCTTATATTTGGTGGAAGCGAATCGCATGCTTAACATTCGCAGATTGCTACCCCACAAGGTGTTCAGAAGACTCTGCATTTTGTCAGCGTCTTCACATAGGAGAGAGGACTATATCACCTGCATATTCTAAGTCAACGAGACTATTTTTCCCTGGTAACAAGTCAGTCGCTGAGTCGCTGAAGTCTGCACAGTTACGGTTAATTCCATTAGTACATGTATGATGAAATTGAATAGAAATGGGGTTAGTGAGTTGGCATCTCTGATGAACAACGCTGGTTGTCATCACTTCAGATGACAACTCGCCGTAAGCTCTCACCTGGCTGGCTGCATGACTTCCAGTAGAGTGCCTCGATCAATGCAATGTATTTTCTTGACATCTCTCTTCCAGCCAAACGTCGCCATAGTACCTCTTGGTTGACAGAATCAAACACCGCCTTTAGGTCAAGAAATATGACGATTGTTGGACGCCGGTAAGGATGCCTATGTTCCAGAATCTGTCGAAGGGTGAAGAGATGATCAACACACCCCCTGCCTGGTTCTCTCGTGTTTGTTTCTCCCGAGCACCACTTAGTCTACGCATTATTATTTGAGCCTGGAACTTGAGATACCATATTAGTCAAGCTAACCTTTTCTAACCCCCCTCTCTCCACAGTGTTGAGACAGCATAGCTGGTATGCTGGTCATCTGAGGGGAACAGCTCACTGCTGTTACATGCCTGTTCTTCAGCACTACGACTTCGCTCACAGACCCCCATCATATTGTAAAAACAAAATTCCTACACTATGCCGATAACTCCTTTTAGTCTAATCTCTATCCTAACAACCCTCCTAGCGTGGTAGGACCTACAGGAACAATAGTTCCAGCCGGTGTAGCTTGTTGGGTCATTGCGATATGCAAGCGCAATCACCACGTCAAGGTAGCAGCTATCTATCAGTCGAGGGGAGGGGGAAAAGTCTGCTTGTTGAGAATGCTTTCAGCGACACGTTGGGTCTGTGAATCAATCAGATGTACTTGTAAAATGTAAGTAGATTGTAAAGCTGAGTTTTACACTGACACTCTTTACCTTCTTCCGTCTCTTAGCGATGAATAAATTATTTTTTTTCTTTTGTTTCTTTTTTCCTCTAGCGTAACAACAACAATGGCGTCAGCTGCAGCCGCCATCGCGGCTACGGTAACTGGTTCCGCTAATTTCTTTCGTCTAACACAGTTGAAAAATAAAGTTGATCCTCAATTACAATCAGGATCATCATTATCATCATCATCCAGTGTGACGCCGGCGTCATATTTATCAACCTCTAGCCCCTCACTTCGGTGTATTGATCAGTCTAGAAATCTTCGGCTGAGTACTACTACTACTACAGATCAAATGTCTTCATCTGTTATGGTTCATGATGATGACGATGATGAAATTGAACTCAGTGGTTGTTTGTCAACTAAAGAGGCTGTAACAATGACAAGTGCTGCAGCGGCTGCAGCAATGGTAGCTGCGGCGGCTACAGTCGCTGCTGAACAACACCAGTTGATTGGAAATAATTTTTTATCTAAGGTAGGCTAATTCTCGCCTTTTTCTATATATTTCTAACCTTCATAGTGTCTTGTTATTTTTTTGTTGTTGTTGTCATATCATAATCACTCTGGTAGCGTAGCATTTCATCGTTACTCTCATGCTGAACCATCGTCTTTCTCAACGATTAATGTTAGCTAACATGGAATTAGTCTGTAACAGAGTCAGTCAGGCGTAGTCAGTCCAAAATCTGGAATCAGTCTATGAAATCATCGGCTGTTGGTTTGAGCAAGCCACAGAGGCATGTGTAGACGCTATTAGTCAACGGTTAGAGGAGACTGTTGGTTGTATGACTCAGAATCCTTCTTCTCACTGGAGCAGATGCATCCCAGATACATTTAGCGTTCATGTTTTCCAGGTTACCATTCTTTCCCACGCATATTTATTCTCATTATAGTTCTATGGAGTCTCTTTGCATGTTTACCTTTGAGTGCTGTATGAAATGTGACGAATTGAATTGCTGCAATTCTGTCCAGACAATAGATGTCAATAATAATGATAATTCTCACGAGTCCTGAGTGGAACAGTAGCATATCTCTCCATTTCAGTCTATTCTTTGTAGTCTTTGTCAACTGGCTGTATGATTGACCGAATGCTGAGGTAGGTGTATAGGCTGAAAGCTGTGAAAATTACTGTCTTCCACTTTACGTTAATGAGGAAAAAACAGTTGAACTGTCGTATTAGTATATGTGGGTAAATCTTGGGCACTGTGGTAGTAAGTAATTACAAATTAGTTTGTTTATTAGATGTATCACACAGTCAGTGAAACAGTATTAGTATTTGCTGGATGACAATGTTTCGAACACAATTTATTAATGTTCATAATCATTTCATCAATTATAATCACACACGACTTTGAAACTTGAGTCTCATGGTTTTCTTTGTTCTCTCCTATTTGTCGTGGTTGGGGTAGTAGAATTTTCCAGATATCTGGGTGGACAGGTGTTGAATCATTCCTATTACACGTATTCACTCTCAGTTGATTCGATAAACAAGGTTTCTGTTATCAATCTCTCCCTCCGCCTTGCTGTTATATTAGATTAGATTTTATAAACTGTCATCTTATCCCATTCAGCCTATTGTATGGTTGTGTGTAATTGCATGTAGTGAGTGGTATAGCTGAACTATTCTCTAGATTTCTTATCTTATTCGGGTCAACTAATCTAGATTTTGCTAGGTTTTTATCCCCAAGTTAGTCTGACTGTTCTACTAGTTTGACCTATGTATTTGACCTGACAATCATTCCGGCAGGATATTAGACGTCGCTTCACACCAACCACACACGCAATCTGGGGTTCGATCCCCCCCCCCAACCAACGCACTCCTACATCTCAACTTTCCAGTAGCGAGCTCAGAAAAGGAAGGTTTGGGCATGTGGTGAGAGCTGGCAGAGAACAAGCCAAAATTGTAAGCAACAATTTGCGTCAGTGTTACGTCCGGAATCAGAGTCATGAGAAAAAACAATAACCTTGAGGAAGTCAACAACAAATCACAGCAGATTTAACATGTGCAAATACGATTCGCAGATATATGGCCTGACTTTCTAAGAAACAACCACAGAGCGATGACAGAATAACCTTCAGCGAGAAAACAACCAATCAGAAGACGTCGCTTCTCCGCTGACAATGATGTACGTAAAAATCTACAAATACCTGTTGATTTTCTCAATAAACGATCTGTCTGACCTGACTCTTGTCTTCTGTCGTTACAGGCGTGGAGTTAGCAACTCCGTTCCGTTAAAAAACAAGAAAAACAACACCACTGCTATTAAAACTTCAAACCTCAAGTTTGGAGTCTCCTGTGTTGCACTCTGAATTCAAGGCATGAAATTTCAACAACAACAACAAAAATCACATCCACAACTCAAATAAAATTCATTAAGATTTTCATCATAACCAAGAGAGAAACATTACCTGGACCAATTGCTTGAATCTGAGGTAATTGTATCTTGAAGAGAATGTGGATTATTATTATCCAATAAGGTATTTGAACACTTACAACGATCAGATGACGATGAAGAAATGTTGACAGTATTCGATTGAACATTCTGTTGATCCATCGAATTATTATTATTATTATTATTACTAACGCCTACACCACCACCACCATTACCACTACCGCCATGTTCGTTTTGTTGATCATCGTTGGAACTTTTCTCATCAACTTTAGAAACCTGTTGTTGTTGCTGTTGCTGCTGCTGTGGGCAACGGTTGATAACTGTAGTAGCATCAGAATCACATTTATTGCTAACAGAACAGTTATTATGTCTAGATGAGTTGGATAATAACGATGCTCCGGCATACGAAGATGAGGCCGCTGCTGATGACGCCGACGCCGACGCCGATGATAACGTCGATGACGATTGAACAGCATGCATAATATCTTTTTCATTACAACCAATTAAATTTCCAAGCATTGCAGCAACTGATGATGGAGCTGAGTTGCCAACACCTGCTGCACCACTAGCTGCAACTGCTGCTGCAGCAGCCATTGGTTGAGAGAAAATAGCGCCTACAATACGCGTGAAAATTGAATACAATACAGAAGTGTTTACAAATACCTTGGATATATATATATATATATATGTATTTATAAAGAAAAGATTATTTGAAACAAGACAGAAATTGGTGACAAACCTTCAATTTGGGAATCACGCAATGGAACCGATTATGCCTAATTCAAAGAGAATTTAGATGTAAAGTATAAAGGAAAAGATCATTATATTATTATTACTATTATTATTCCCATTGGGTTCCGAGTGGGACAAAAGTGGACCACAAAAGCACACTGGCATTCCACACATTTTTTTGAAGTCGTCTCTAGCTGGTTTCAGAAGACTGTTGATAAGTTGTTACCCCTGGTCAAATGATCTCCTCTTCACGCTACCCTCAGACCCATGGCCAACTCATCGTATTCCATCCGGGGAATGGGGTCTGGAGCGTGATGTTACTTAACGGTCCATTCAGTGTGTGTCCAATCCAACTTCCATTTCCTTCTTTATATTTATGAAACACAAAATAATTGAGCAAAGAATATCCTTTTGAAAAAATTCCTCTTCTGGCTCTACAATCATATATACATATGTTTATATACACAGAATATTCTAGAATAGTAGTCAATAACAATATTGATGCTTTTTTGAATAATATCGATTTGCAAAGTAAGATCAATGGAATTACAGTTCATTAAAGATGCATAAATTATAATAATAACAATAATAATAAAGATATAATAGCGAATAGAATATCAACTAAAATTAGTAAAATTCCACAGAAATTCAGGATCATTCAAACCTAGATAGCCAAGCGGGTAAGGACAATGTCTGAACTGACTTCTTTCAGATGCACAAATTAGGCTTCCTAATATGGATCCCAGCAGCCAGCCTCAGCAATATATAGAGTAGTCGAACTCTTAAGGCAAAACTGAGATTTGTTGGTATGTGGTAAATGTCCCCGGAAGCATGATTAACGTCAATCTTGTGTTCTGTATCCACAAGGTGAGTGAGATAGAATACCGCTATGTGAATAGATTTTGTTTGTCCTTTGCTTAACCACCATGCAGGGTGATGTTCGGAAATTCGATGAGTAGTTAATTGGTTGCCAGTGAATTCTCTTGACGTTGGCTTATCCTTTCTCGTCATCCGATCTTCACCATTGGGTGGGTTAGTGAAGGAAACTGTTGATGAAATTCTACAACAGTCTGTTGGAAATGCTCCCTGCGGCATGTTCGCCAGGCCTCTGAACCATATCGAAGCACTGGCTGACTTGACATAAGTGTTGAGTACAGTAGATTTCCACACTTATTCCAGAGTAATTAGGATGTGTCCTCCTTTTACGATCCTGGTTAATTTCGACATCCTCATCTATGTCACCTGTAACTGAAACGACGCTGTCTAGGTGAGTGATGAAAGAGGTGACTCCCTGTAGATTTCTCCTACTGATGGTGACTGATGTTCGTTGTTGTTGGTGGTGGTGTTGATTGGACACCACCATCACATCCGTGTTTTCTACATTCAGTGAAGCTTAAATGAAAAATGGAATACTGAAGTTTTTCATTTTTAAGCATGACACCTGATTCCTTCAAATTCAAAGGGTATAGCCAACTCATTAATTAACATTGAATGATTGAGATTTTGATGCATTTTCACTACATCGAAATACTGAACGGTATAATTGATGAGGTACATGATCTACGGGAAGAAAGGAAGGAAGGAAGTGGTCACTTACACCACACTAAGTAGTTATTTACAATGTAGGTGGGGTTTTAAGATTTATACACACTGCTATAAGGCAGGCACGATTTAGACCTGTAAATGGGATGGTCTTCCTCAACACATATTCGATTCACCAAAAAGTTTCTACTTGAAACCACATCATCCAGCTCATACAACAGGGGAATTCAAGGCGAAAAACGCTGAATAAGGGGGGAAAGAAGGACACTGCAGAAAAAAGAAAGCATAAAGTCCATTATCGACAACCTACAGCAACTTAGCCTAATAAAAAGTTAAACCAACCACCACTGGTAATGTGCAACTTTGAGCAAAGCAAGACAGCATTTGTGAAAGCTGCATGACTGACTTACTGTCACAGTTTGACATGCGAATTCTTAGCCAAGCAACACTCAGACCGAATATATAGAAATTTCATTTTGGATGAGTTGAGTAGTGCCAAATAGACAGGACTATCCGGCGACCAACAAAACTAATCTAATGTAGACTGCACTCTGACCGTGAGATAAATCTCACCTGCGGCAGCAAGTACATTAGAAGGACAGAAAGAAGGCAGGACTTCTATCCGGTTTTCAGAGTATATTCCGAGACACTTATGCTTAAAAGGAAGCAAATATTTACAAAGTGCAATTACCAAACACCCACCCAGTGGATACGCGTCATTTTTTCAAGATTTCCAAATCCTTCAAAATATTAAACATACAAAGGACAGCGATTCTACTACGATTTACTGCTGAAGCACCTGCAATCAAGCGTCTCAGACCAGACTTATGCATATAAAAGGAGAGAGTGTAGTCAATCTTTCTCACTCCCTTGGTAACCGTATCACTTTCATTACATTGATTAGTCATACATACTAGTGAGCTCAGCTCACTAAGCAAGTTTTCAATTTGATGAACTTTAATTCACTCAAGTTGCCATGCTGATGTAAAAACTAACACTATTTATTAGATTTTTCTGTTTTTTGTCTTCACTCACCCCCGCTCCCCACCCTTTTTCATAGTTTGATAGTATATAAATTGATGGTAACTTAAACTAAAAAGTATTGTAATACTTATATTCTGGATGTGTTCATCTTATAATGTTTTCTCTATTACTTTTCAAACATTGAAGTATGAAATGTTATCACTATTTATAACCACTGTAATTTCAGTTAGTGGTTTGCAGTTAGCTGATGAGAACTTGTGAAATAGACTGATGACATCACATTTTCTTCTGCAAATCTAGTCTTTCTTTCTCTCTATCGAAATTTATCAATGGAACCAAATAGTTCAATAACTAATCTCCAGTTATTTGCAAGGACATAGACACGCATTAAAAGATGACTTTCACTTTGTGTAAACAAACGACATCGGTCCTCAGAACTACTAATATGGTACTGTCACACCCCTCTACAGACACTAATTTTTCCATTAATAACGGTGAGGGTGAGTGTGGGTAGTCTCTCTACAGATAAACAGATAAGAGAATAGTGGAGTTCAAAATCGCCAACAGAAAACCAGAACAGCGTACAACAGTCCAGGTCACTTTGGTCTCAATCTCTCTCTCAATATTAGTCCAACCATCATTTAACAATAAGCCATTGTCATGCGTATTTTTTCCTTCAATGGATCTATATTATTATTATTGTTTCCTTTAATTCCTGGAGGAACATAGGGCTTCAGCCATGCGTCTCCATTGCGTTCGGTTCTCTGCTAGAGTCTTCACCTGGCTCCATGTCTGCCCACACGTTTTCATCTCCTACTCACATGACCTCCTCAAAGTCACCCTTGCACTGAGGACCAACTCGCCGCGTCCCTTTCGGGTTCCACTCGAGCAATGGCTTGTCTAGTGATGTCACTTGATGGTTTCCTCAGATTATGGCCTCCAATCCACCTCCATTTCTTCCTGCCTATTTGTTTCACAATCGGTTCCTGCTGAGTTGGTTCGCTCCCAGAGATCTTTGTTGCTGATCTTTTCTGGCCATCTGATCTTGAGTAGTACTGAGAGAAGACAACTGTTAATGCAGGTCTGTAGTTTGTTTGAGATGCTCTTTATGACGCGCTGGCCAAGTCTCTGATCCGTATAGTGAGTAGCACTGACTTCACATTGGAGTTGAAAATCCGGATCTTATTTTTGATGCTGAGTGCTGTTGACCCCACACTGAATCGGATTACGCTTGGGTAATCAAGAGTCATCTCACTATATAAAACCCAAACGCACAATGTAGCTCACTAATATAGTACACAAAAAAGAACACTTATCGATTGGTTACTATTAGTCAATCAATAAACAACAAATATCGTCACATTCATCATCATCATCATCATCCGCTTACCAATACATGCTGCGGCAGCGACAGCAGCTGCTGTTTTCGCTTGCTCTTCATCAGCTGGATTCAAGTATTCCGATGAGGAAGGCATAGAATTAGATATACAATCTATTGAAGACATTGATTTAATAGAGTTACCAGTGGCACTACTATTATTATTATTGTTCTTATTGTTATTATTACCGCCATTATTGGGATTATTATCGTGCGAATAAAATGATTCTCTGCCTGAAGAACAGTGTGGATGATTTTGAAAACATGCAGTCATTGTGTTCATATTTGTGTTATAATCATTATTATTACTATTATTATTATGAATACTATGAATGTCTAGTTTGTGTGGTGAGTTTTGACAAGAACATGACTCAGTATTACTCATCAAGGTCATGTTGTTGTTACTACTATTGGTGTGATTAGAATTCCCGTCGAAATGATTATTATTGTTGTTATTACTATTACTGTTATTATTATTATGATTATTATTATTGCTGGTGATAATACGAGGCGAAGGAATTGATGAACTAGACTCCATATCCAAATCATTGAACTTTGTTTGATTACTTGGAAGCATAGAATGATACTACAATCCAGAAAAAAATCAAATCAACAAAACTGAAAGATGGAGAAAAGCATATAAAGTAAACGAAGTGTACTCTGTATTAGAAAAGAAGTTCAAAGAGGAAATAGGATACTTATTAAGAAGATAGTGGAGAAAAATTATTCATGAAAGAAATGGCTTTTCAACATTACAACAACAACAACAACATGACTTCTGTGGCGATCGTTACTTGGAGGCAAACATAAATAAACAGCAGCTGGCAACAAAGGATAACGCTTCTGGACTTTTGTATTTTAACTTCTGCTCAGTTCGATAAAAACAATGCATTAGGACATAACAATACCGGCTTAGATTAAGGTCTTCCTTGTGTAATAATGAGGAAATGAGTAAGGACTAATAAGACACTATTTGAATTTTCAAAACAAAACTAACCCTTACAAATCAAACTATAGAAAATTAATCTGATGCTCGCTAGTGACTTGCTACAGGATGGACGGAGTTTCCTGGAGTTCTAGTGAGAAGTCGTGACCAGAGAGGTCCATGCAGATGTTATGTGTGAGGATGGATGTCCCACCGACGACACTGGTTGGGGTCGCGCTAAATCACGAATTGTTAGAAGTTAGAATTCATGCACTGGCCATTGAATCGGTTCCCAGTGATTGAGTGGTATACGAGCATGCTGGCCTTGTAACCGGAAGGTCTTGGGTTCGAACCCTGGTAGTGGGTGGGTGCGTACTGCCGATGATTCCTAAACCAGTGGGATGAAACACCTGTCCAGTACTCCAGTGCTGGTTTTCAATGGTTCTTTAACTGATATCAATCCGTGATCAACTCGTAAAAACAAAACTAACCCTTAGAAAACAAACTATAGAAAACTTAATCAATGAGTGTCTTCGCTAACCCATTCTTGATTACCTCCAGTCTATGTGAGTGTGAAACAACGGGAAATACTTAAATTCACAGGTTCATTTATCACCGATAATGTTAAGATTAGTAGGGCTATAATTAACGATACATGTAATACAAGGAGACCCGGTTGAATTATTCACCTGATCCTAATATACAGGGGATCTGAAAACCAACTCCAGCACACATGGATGTTGCCTATTAAAGTCACGATGTACAATTGACTGGTCACCAAGACCTTACACGTTGGAAGACTAATAATGGCAATAAAGAGTGACTGTAATCCACTCAATTACTCGAAGCAGACAACGAGCCACTTATTTATTTATTTATTGTGAGGGCTGATGACATTACCCCGGTTCAAGTAAATGGAGTGGTATTGGACTTCGGGACTGATTAGCTGAAAGTTGAGTGGAATACCATGACTCTTGAATACTAGTTGGCTGTGAACAAAGCGGACATCTTTCTTATCTTCACATATCCACGAATACAAACCATCCATCAAAACTTAATGAAATGCACTCCTTCATATCAGTTGTGACGTGGAAATCTAGAGATATCAATACAACAAGAAAAATGTAAAGAATCTTAGACACAGGAAACACGAAGAATACCAGAGAACTTGTAGCTAGGATCCTGACATTCAGATCAGTTTGTAACTGACAGACATATGCAGATTGAGAAACAATTTATCAATCAGTCAATCAATCAATCACACGAACAAAACGGTCATGGATGAATTGGAGCACAAGACTATCTGTATCACAATTTAGGTAAATACAATGATCAGAAAATCTCCAGTGATAACCAATCAAAGTTATCAAGAAAAGAAAAAAGTTATCTGATTCTCTGAGGTAATTAATTACAGCAGGTTCACTTCATTTTGTCGTTAGCGCTGAAGAAGATGATGCCCAAAAATGCCCAATGAAAGCTTTGCACTTAAACCACCATCCAGCTGAGCTATAAATCTTCTCTGCTACTTTAAAATCTTGCAAGCGGAAAACGCAACTAACGGCAGTGTCTTGACATACGGAACCTGGAGGTTCAGACTTTTGCTACCACTGAAGATCTCAGTGTTTTAAAACTTAAAGATGACTGGATAATATAAATGTAAACTCTAGCAAATAATAATGTAGTATAAAACAATAGTGTACACCTGAAATCAACTATGATCATATGCGTAAATGTAAAACTGGCATAAGATATTGACAAACACATTAAATTAGTCAATAAGTTAAAGCAAGTATATTCTGATGGAAATAGTAAACTCCAAGCTCACAAATTTCAGAAGTAATTTCTTTGAATGACCATTTTTTAAATACGTTCTATTGTGGTGTACAGAAGCGCCAAAACATTTTGACCCTAGCATTAGGAAAATTCAAGTCAGATAACCTACATCTCCCCCCCATACACACACACCTGGCTTAAACGATACTTAAACTGTGTTCCATATTCGTCGTGCCTATTCACCGATGACAGTGGCTTAACCTGACGACTTCGGTTAATACAGACTAATTCACTCGTCAATTGATCTGCCTCTACTTCCCTCGAATTTATTTATATGGGTCCTTTATACTTGCAGACTGCTTCTTGGAAAGCCTGGAGAATAGTATTTTACGGCCCACTATCGATAGTTTCCATTTGTACCAAAGATACATGGATGATACTTTCATCATATGTGACGACAATACCGACATCGAATTGATAACTAAAGAGTTCAACAGCTGCCATCATACCATCCAATTTTACGTCGAAATCAGAGATGAACTCGGACATCCATTTTCTGGATGTTCTTCCAAAAAGGGAAATCTGATGGTTCTCTTCAAAGATCGATCTACACAAGTTTCCATAGTTGGGTCCCTTTGAGAAGAAAGAGAAACCTAATCCACTCCTTATCCTCAAGAATAAGGAGGATATGTTCCAGTGATACGATCGAAGGGGGACTGAGGCGACTCAGACAAGTCCTCATACAGAATGGATATCCTCCAAGATTTATCGAGAAAAACACGAAGTTAGGGGAAAAGTCCGAAAAAACCCAGACGGTGCCGAAGAAACTGCTATTTTATGAGTGTTGAATTTAAAGGTGATACCGCAGCTGAAATCCTGAAGAATCGCTTATGCAGATCACTGAGGAAAGCCTTCTTTATGGCTGAGCTACGTATCAACTTCTACAGCCGACAAATGATCAACGGATGTGTGAAGGATAACCTGCCACTTTGGATGGGCCACTTCAATGTGTCTTTATAAATTCACCTGCTCGTGTGGAGCTAGTTATATTGGCCGCAAAAAGCGCACACTTTCCAAACGCATCCCTGAACATTATCCGGCATGGTTAGAAAAGGGACAATGCAAGACGATTACTAGCTTAATTCTCAAGCATTTGGTTAACTCAGGCCACGTAGCTCCACCGGAGTCGTCTTTCAAGATCATCAACAAGGTGAGGCTAAATGGTACGAAGGGCGTCAGGTTTCGGCTTTTGTGCATGGCAGAGGCGCTGGCAATGCGTCAATACAACCCCGAACTCTGTATACAGAAAAGGTTTTTGCAGTCTTATTCTACCTTTATCTCAACCTTTTCCCTGTAAAAAAAATTTGATTTTTTTTCTTTTCATTTTTTGTTTTACTTTTAGTTTGCTTTTAATTTAATTATTAATTCACTATCATCACTCTTATATGTTCCTTGTTGTACACTTTCACACGCTCTTCACACTTGCTAACTGGACACTCAACTAGCACCTTTATTCTCACTCAATAGCAATTTTAACCTTATCAAATTTCTATCTTTGTGCCGTTGAGTACCACGTAATTTACAACTTTTAACTTTCACTTCTAAAGCCACTTCCGAGTAATTATATCAATTATGTCACCTCCCCCTATTACTCAATAATAGACCACTATACATATATATATTTTGGTAAGTATAAATACGACTGTACGGCAGTCTCTGAAGATGATTTCGTCGATAAAGAAAATTTTCTTCGCTGAACACTGTCTTTTATATGTAACTGTTTCAACCTTGAGATAAGCAGCAGCAGCAGCATACACCTAATTCTTCTTCTTAACTCTCTAGGATTCACGTATTTTATCACAAAACATCACCTGGTACAATTTATCAAGTGAGTTATTTCAAAGATCATTAAAAAAATACAACATACCATCATACTACTAATTATGGTAGCATTAGTTACAAGTCTGTCTCAGGATGAGGACAGAACTAGAGCAGCAGGTCGTTGGTCTAAGCAAAAGTGACTACTCTAAAACACCATATATATATCTATATATATATATATAATGAGATTTGACTGAGTTTCAACACAGACGTGCAACAGTTCAAGTTGTTGCACACCGTGTAGCACATAAAGAAAGACAAAAGAGAGAGAAAAACGTATTCAAGAAAAGACTATACTAAACAGAAATGTGAGGAAGAAAGAATAGTTATGTGTGTGGAGATTCACTTTAACAACTATATCGATCGACTACTTACCCTCGCTTACCACCCAACACTCTACAGCTAACTTCACAATATTGCTCACCATATCATAACACTCAGCGCAGGAGACAGAACACAAGCAGCCTTGGTCAAAGACAGCCAGTCTTTTCATATCTTTCTCTTTCAATGGCCTTGTCTCATATCTATAAAGGAGGGCGGTGCAAACAGCTGCAGTACTCGTGCGATTTGATCAATATAGCCGGATATCACGTCTATGCCCAAGATGATGTAATTTGACAAATACCACATGATTGGACGAATGATTTCATCATGAGATGATATCAGTTCGAGAACCACTGGAAAACCTGCCAGGGAGTACTGAACAGCTGTTTCGTCCTAGTATGGGACTCATCATCAGTACGCACCCACCACAGGGGTTCGAACCCAGGACCTTCTGGTTACAAGGCAAGCTCGTAGACATTTGACAAGAGGGAATCACACGCCAAATATCCGAAGATTTCGGCTCAAAGTTTTCAGGAGGACTCTGCACTTCATCAGTGTCTTCATCTAGGAGAACAATGTCATTTGCATATTCCTAGTCACAAAAAGATTGTCTCTAATTCGCTAAAATCAGTCAGGATCTATTCAGTTAGTACATCCTATGATGAAATTAGACACAAGTGCGGACAGTGGCTGGAAACCACAGGTTGTCATCATCACATCAGATAACAACTCTCCATAGGCTCTAACCTGGCTCTATATGAGATCGAAGAGATTGCCTTAGTTTAGTGTAACATACTTTGTCAGTACTCCATTCACTCACGGCCAAGCTTCACAACAAAGATATACACTAAGCGTAAACAAAACTTCAGGTGGAAGAAGAATGAGACAATTCCATAATTCCATACAGACACTTAGTTTAAAACTCACCTTCGAATTTTGTGACATCGAAGTGGAACAAGCGAATGCAGCAGCTGCTGCTACGGCGGCTGCAGCCGCAGCCGACACTGTTGGTAGATTTGCTGCAGCTGCTATAGCTGATTCATGTACACTTACACCTTTCGATGGACTACCAGTTTTACTATTCATATAATTAGTATGCTCTTGAGATACATTACTTCCACTAGATAGACTGTTGGAACCAATAACAGGTAAATGTTGTGCAATATAACCAGCAGCTGCTGCTGCAGCCAATACAGCTGTTGTTGACGAAGACACCGATGTAACTGAGGTTGTCGCCGTCTTCGTCGTTGTAGCAGAAACTGGTGTCATTCTAGTTGTTTCTGTTGCTGTTGATGTTGGACATCTTGAAGGTCTAGTTTCGTGAATTTGTTTTTGCATCTCAACCGCTGTAACCTGTTGTTGATCACAATTCTCTACAGGGGGTTGATTAATATGAAATACACCATAAGATGGATAATAGGTTGCAGATGCAGATGATATTGACGGATGGGCTGGTAACACACCAGTTACAACAGCATGATGTTGTGTAGAACAAGCTATAGCCGCCTGAGATTGGATTAAACTATTATTGCTCACATTACAAGTAAACTGAGATAGAGGAATGGTTAATAGTGTAGGAGCTTGTGAATGACTTGAACTTGTTGCAAGTAGATGGTGATGTGAAGTAGTATCGTGTGGAACAATGTGATAGGTTGCATGAGGCGCAGACAATGCTGTCTGAGGATGAATTACATTCGGATGTTGTGTGGGACTAGCAGCAACTGTGATGACAGAAGAACAAGGACTAATATGAGGAGCACTGGTAATTGAGACCAGCGATGAATGAGCATACAGAGTAGGTTGTCCTGTAGACGTATTACTAATAAGACCCATAAGTGAATGTGAAGAAACACCAGGAATATATGCATTGCTTACAGGATTTAAGACTGAATTTGTAGGCGATACAATGACTGCATTATTTATAAGAGACGGTTGGCTGAAATGAGTTGAATTGCTGAACAGAGAAGGATCAATATGTGCAGCTGGTGTGTTTTCACTGACGTAGCTAGCTTCTTGTAAATTTGACTGATTATAGAGAGTAGGATTTACTACTTCTTGTGTCTGTTGTGTGGTGACATGGCGATATTTACAATTAGCTCCCCGATTACAGGCTCCATTGGCGAAATCCTATATGGACAGATTATGAGGACAAGAAAAAATATGGTTAAACCAACAAAAACACTCAGGGATTAATTGTATACATAACTCTAAAGAAATCAGCATATCGACAAGTTAAACAGAAGAGAAATCTCTTTTCTCTTTTACAATGAATGCACTTCTTATAACTTCATCGTAACTGATCGACGGAATAAATTTTATTTGATGAAGCTAACGATAGGGATTAAGAAAGTAATACAACACATACTATTGATTGATATGATTGGTTGGTTGGTCATTATTCACACCAACACCTTCATGGTACTAATGTATCTGATGGAGGTAATTTAAACGTTGGTCAAGTATTTTACACTCAGAAAGCCGAATTAGTTCAAACCACTTCATAAATACAGTCAACTAACATAGTGGACTTATATAAATAATATCACAGGTAAGACAGTGTTTCAGGCTATTATAATCCACATCTAGTACAGTAATAAAACACTGGAACACTACAACAAAAACAAAAACAATGACATTTACGGACAATTGGGGCGATAAAACAAAGCACATGTAGAGAGGACAATGCTGCGTCGGACAGTCAGTCCGTTATTTACAGTTAATCATTGAATCGGTATACTGCAAATGGAATAAACTTCGGAAAGTACAAAAAGTTTGTTTTTAATGATAAAAATCATCACGTTCTGATTTATATATTGATTAATGATCACGATGTACTAGGGCGATAGTGGAATAATAAGTAATACGCAACAAAAGAATGACAGAAAGAGGATACAAAACTTGATTCGAAACTCATCATGAAAATGCACTGCTGTTAATACACTGATGATAGCGAATACAGCTAAATATCAAATGTATCTGCAAAGTCATTTTCCGATTATATTCACAATATTTTAAGTTAAACAGAACAAAAAAGATAAATTGTACCCTATTCAATGTCAATAACATCATATGAAGGAGAATCACAGACCTCCTCGGCGACTCTACAGAGCACAAATGTCCGTCCGAAACACACATGAATCAGGAAGGTCTAATCATAGCATCATAATAGTTTACATATAGATTTCTTATGGTTGAAGGCGACTGGTAGGAAGCTCTAGGCCTGAGTCTCACCCAATTCTTACAGCTATTTATCAACCCAGTGTATTTATCCATTCCCACTGAGTTATACGAATTGTAGTAATAAGTGACAACAAGCTACTTTTAATGTAAGCATGGAGCTTGGGAACTGTGATAGAATGTAATTTCAAAAAAGTTTATTTTTCTGAAGGGAAATCAGTCCACTCAATGTTGCAGATGTTACGCCCTGCTGATAGGCGTCAATAAGAATGGAACTTAGTTGCAGCTGTCCTGTCACATGCACCAAACTATCCAACATCAATTAATAGTGTACAACGATGGCTTGTCGCTAAGTCTGATGACCATCATACAATAAACTTGTGAATTTCTCCCGAAAGAAATCCGAAACGATAATCCAAATTATAGATTTAACCACACATAGAGTGACGCGTATAGTCCGAAATACAGGATATTCTGAAATACGGTACTTTATTACATAAAAATAGATATATAATATACAAACCTCAAAATGTGAAGTGTCTGTGGCTAAATGCCGTCAAATGCACAACCACTGTGCAGTCAATAAGTAAAAACACCAATGCTGTGTCAAGGTCGATCCACGTGTCGGTTCAAACGGCCCGCGAATGCCAACCATAGAATAAACAAATATGAACAAACAACTTTCAATAGGAAAGCATACACTATAGGGAAAGGTCAGCAAATAATGTTTAAGGAGAAGAAAAATAAATACTATACATTATTATAATAATAATAGAACAAGTGATTTAACTGCAGTTGTAAGCAAATATCATTGTTATAAATTGACGTATAAAAATCATACTACTTACTAATGGCAAATAGTATAATGTTGAACAAAGGAAAGATTGAGAATGAACAGGCAGGAAAGGAATTAACAAAACTTGAATCGTAGAATTTAGATACCACTAGTAACTAGACAACATAATAGGAGTAACTTCTTTAATGTTATATATGTATACATGTATATGGCCAGATTGCTTTGGTGGTAACAAATATGACGATAAGGAGTGGAGAGTGTCTCATTTCGAAACAGCTTTTCATAAATTTAGGCACAAGATATATATCTCTGAGGATACACTGGACAATAACTGGTGCCATGCGTCTAGTCCTTTGTTTAATGCAGACTGAATTCTATAAGGCAAGTTTGTAATGTGGTTACTGTGCTAAGTGACTTCCCATCACGGTGCACTCGAAATTGTTCTTACATAGCTGGAGACAATCGGCAGGAAGTTCAGTGGTAACGTCTCTGACTGCAGCACTGGCTGACCCGGGTTCGAATCTCAGAAGGGACATAAGTTCCTTCAAGATCGCTGACGAGTACCAACAAGCACGAAACCTAGGTCCGAAACTTCCTGAAGATTGTATCCAACCATCTAATGATATACACTGGCGTGTTATTTCAGGTCAACAAAAAAGGCTCTTTAATAAAGTTCCATCAGTTAGGAGGGTATGTACAGACGAACTGTAAAGTAAGAAAGTAAGTCATATGTGAAATACAGAAAGCCTTCGAGACTACCTTCTTTTATATTTATTTTTGTTTATTTATTTATTATAGCTTGATTCCGAACCGTATTTTTGGTACAAGTATGAAATTTTCAGCATGTGATATCGGTAGCCCAATTTTGCAGGCCGACCATAGATATCGGGTGTGCGCCGGCAGGGGATCGAACCCAAGACCATGTGCATGGTCGGCGAGAGTCCTAACCACTGTACCACCGACCATGTTTTAATTCAACTGTGCGGAAAAATAAAAATTCACTACATGACAAACATTATGTTAAGATTGATTTCGCTTATTCAAGATAAACATAAACCTTACTGCCTTCCATATATCTGCTAGAAACACAGTTAAACATCAAATTCAAAAGTTAAATCAGTCTGGAAATCAAGGGATATACAACAGTTTTTTTCTCTCTCAGACATATACCTTGCAGATTGGTGTTTTTTCATCATAACTATTTGAGGCTGAGCGATGAGACCACTGTGCATCAAAGGTAAAAACCTTCGAAGTACCGAAGGTTTGAAAGTATATGGGACAACACCTTAGGACTGATAATACATAGCATACTTGAAGATGCTTTCTGTGCAATTTCTTTTCTTTTGAAAATTACTGGCCGCTAAGGATTAACATAGGGTAAGCAGCATACACTGATGGTAACTGGTATTAGTCTAACCAGCTTGCACTAAACCTTTCTCGTGTGATAAGACCTGGAGGAACATTGATTGCAACTGAAGGAGCTCACTAGGTAACAGTGACATGCATACCTGGTTACCATGTCAAAGTGTAATCTGTAAATCAGTCGGGTGACTCTATGACGTTACAAACCCCTATTGTTACAGTTGCTCGGTGCACTCAGTCAAAGCAACTTCACAAACTTATCGACTTTCCCTCGTTACCTAACACCACACGTCAATACTACCTACCATATCATACCACTTAACACGGGTAATAAGACGCAGATACCTGTGGTTAAAGACAGCTAGTCTCCACTTTAAACCATCATGTCTCAAACATAAAGAAGGATAGAGCAAACAATTCCTTTGATTAATAGACGGTTACCACGTCTACGCCACAGATAACGTAAGTTAGCAAGTACCAAACGAGCCGTTTGTATCCGTGCTGACAATTCGTCAGTTGACAGTTTATTAAGGCAGACGCAACTTCCAAAATAAATGAATTCCATCTCAGCTTATCCTCAAGCATATACTGATTTACTACCTCTGTGGACCATGTTACATAGGACGTACGATTAGACAGGTTCGTGAAAGCGAGGTTATAAAAACCTTTGCCTTAGCATACTTCAGACAAAAGGCATAATTTAGGCTCTAGAAAAAACTTTAGTGTGACATACCGAAGACAATCCCGTGGTCTATACATACATAAAGCTAAGGGGCAATAGGATCGACCACACTGCGGTCCAATATTCCGAAAATCAGAACTAGAATTTATCAACGTTGCCCTAGACTGAGTACTGTTCTCACACCCATGTCCTCCTTCCTATTTCCTGCAATTTTGCTAACGGTCAAATACGTACCCTTCATTCCGAAAAATTTTACATCCTTGTGGATATCTACACACACACTGACGCTACCAAACTGTTCTTAATTATCAAAAGTATTATCTCTCTTAGTGACACCACTTCATTCATCTCGCATACTAATTACTTCATAATGAACTCAATTCACTCTTAGTACCTTTGATCAATGTACGCTACCTTTGCGCTCACTAAACGCTTTACACACTTGAACTAAGTCATCGTTTTCCTTTCTTCGAAATGAACAGATTGAACAAGAATAATCATCATCACCCAGTTTAATCCACTCTACAATTGCATTCAACTAACTACGCTAGTCGTGAAAACTCAGGTCTCCTGGTTGCAAGTTGGAACTAAACTGATTTTAGATCTGCAACTGTATTCTACCGCTAAAACTAGAAACGAAGCTAACTGGTACAGCTTTTAATAAGTGTGTCTAGGTTTCTAGTTCCGCTTCACCCACTTCAATTTGGGCAACTGGATATTGTCATCAGATTAAAGCCTGCTATGTGAGCAATGAATCGGGGAATTGAGAGCTAAATGACTAACTTGGCTAAACATATTTCTTGCATACTGGCTTTCATTATAACATTTTTTCGCAACTGGAAGCCGATGGAAGGAGGTTGATTTCCGTTTTTGCCTTATTGAATAGGGAATACAGTCTGTTTTTCTATGGGACCTTCCGTATGCCCGAGATTTTCAGCTATTTCGCATAAGACTCACTTAACAGAGACGGCAGTTATGACGGTTACGCCATTCAACTGGCCACTACATACTTATCAAAGCAGAAAAGAATAGATCCCTTTACAAAAATTATACCAAGCTTTAAATACTCAATTTTGTTTTTATGGAAACAGACTAATATG